CCACCCCAACCCCCCTTTCCTTTTTTTTTTCTTTTTTTTAAATCGGCCTCAGAAACAAAGTAGAGACGTTTGTGTGACTGTGATTAGGGACCTAGAGAAAAAAATCTAAGAACTAACAACGTATAGGTTTTTAAATTTTTTTTTGCGGGGGGACTTGTTTACAACTGGTGCCAGTACACAAGACATGATGACGTCCCTTGTCAGCATTGTACTGTATTTCTTAAAACTTAACGACACGCAGTAATAATTGGTGAAGAAGTATCGGCGTTTGGTTGGTGTCCTCGCATGGTATGCTCCTTCTTTCCTATCTTTCCAAAATAAAAATTGTTCGTCTTTTTCTCTTCCCAGTTGTTTATTTTTGCTTTGTTTTGTTCTGTTTTTTTATTTGTGGGTTTTGTTTATCTGTTTTGATTTGTTTGTTTGGGTTTTTTCTGTATGTTGCTCTCGTTTAGTTTTAGTGGAGTAGTTACGGTGCTCGCAACTGCATAAGGTCATATGAGCGCCAGTGTTACTCTCTATCAATACTTTTAATCTCCGGCACTTACATGACCTAACTGTGTTGCAAAGACCGTAAAACTCTTACCAAAAAAGAAAGCTACAAACTACATCCGGAATGTTGATCAGACTCACCGGCACTGTACTGCATCCTGCGCATCCAGGGGTATATCTGGGGCGGCGGGAAGGGGCCCTGGTCGGACTGACTCGTGGGGGATCCAGCCCCGCTTGTCTCGCCCTGTCGGTTTTGTTGTTGCTGTTGCTGTTGTTGTTGTGGTGGTGGAGGTTTTGTCGGCGGCGGAGAGGGCGGGGAGGGTGGGGCGCCGGGTTGTTGGTGCGCGGGTTGGGGGAGCTTCTGTCGCTGGCTTAGGGGAGGCGACTCGCACGATTTGTTGTCTTCCAGGAAGTTGTTTACTGGCGGGTTGCCATAGTAACCGCCGTTACACGTGCTACTGTTGCTGTTGTTGTTGTTGTTGTGAGTGTTGTTGTTGTTGTTGTTGTTATTGCCTCCAGGGCTGTTGGCGGAACAGTTTGTCTTGCTGTTGCTGTTTGAATCCGCGACAACAGCACCGCCGCTATTCCCGCTGTTGTTGCTGTTGTTGTTGTTGTTGTTGTTGTTGGTCAGATTTTGTAACGACGATGACGTCGGAGATGAGGAGGATGAGGAGGAGGAGGAGGCAGCAGGGACCGCCCCGGAGAGAGGTCCGTTAGGGCGTACGTCGATGCAGGAGGGAGGGATTTTTCTATCCACGAAGGAGTGCGGAGAGGAGGAAGGAGAAGAGGCCGACCCTCCTTGAGCAGCCGTGAGCGTGTGGTGGATGGGGGGCGGGCTAGGGGAGGCAGGGGGGAGGTGGGTGAGTCTAGGAGCGTTGTAGAAGTCTCCAGCAATGTCACCATAGCGCGAGTCCGGGGTGAGGCGCGGGTGGTGGTAGCCAGGGTACCTCGAAGTGGCGAACGGCGACGGAGAGTAGACTCCACCACCTCCTGCACCTCCCGGGCTGTGGTGCTGTTGCTGTTGTTGCTGTTGTTGTTGCTGCTGTTGGTGGTGGTGGTGCGGGTGGTGGTGGTGGTGGCTTTGGTGATGGTGGTGGTGGTGGTAGGGGTTGCGGTCGTATCCTGTGAGTCCGTCGGCGCAGGGGTCAAGTCCTGCTGCCGACCCAGGCCCGTAGCAGGCGGCGAGAGAGTTCACGAAGTAGGAACTCATGGTCTCCTCTTCCTCTCTCTCTCCCTCTCTCTATTACACTCTCACTCCCCCTCTCCCTCTCTCTATCCCACTGTCTCCCACACCCGCCTCGTCCCAGAAAAGACGTGACAGTCACTCAAACTCTCTCCTCTCCAGTCTGAAAAGAACAAAGAACGACAATAAATCTCATGAAAAACAACACGCTACTCAACTGCGACCCGAAAAGACAAGTCACTTCTCTAACTAAATTTCATTTTCCGTTTTG